AACTCATTGTAAGTATTGAAGAGGGAATGGGGCGTTGGGGCGTACAGGGACAGGAGATCGCGGAGCGACCGGGCATGGTCGGTGATTGTTCCCTCAGACTGGATGAAGCACGATCTGCTGGCATTTCCTCGCATCTGGGTCATTCCAGCATATTGTATCTGTTTTTGCTGGGGTTTTCCAAAGCAGATTTCCACATAATCGGGATGCACTGAACGAAACAAGCCAAGGTTTTCACGCAGTGGCTGCTTTCTCTCCCGACTCTCCATGGCGGAAACCATTAAAACACGCAAAACCCTCATTTAAATACTCCCACCTCCATTGTGTTGTCATCTACGCAATAAATCTTAGTAAATCACCCATAACAGGTACTAAAATTGGTACTAAAAATGCACATGCAATTTAGTGCTCTTTATTCGGGAAGTTAGTAAATCGGGCCCTATGTGTAATGAATCTAGAATGTTTTGAATAAATAAATGAACTTTTTCGCGATATTCTCATTTTATGAGATGCACCTGTATGTGTGAAGAGAGGGAGGGCTATGTTCCGAGGGACAGAGGCTACCACCGTACAAGGTGCAAACTGCACATCAGAATGGGAGGAGCCTAGGACTGAACCCTCTCAACCTCCTGAGCCACAGCCGCCATTGATGATGTATGATATAATGTTACAACTATGCTTTGTGGGTATAAAGTAATGAAAACCATTTGTCACAAAAATACTAAAATAACCTGCAGCCTTTCAATAAATCTCACAAAAGCTACATAATATAGGATGTGTACGACATATTCAGAGCTGTTTTCCATACAAGCAACAAACTCCAAAGTTCTGGGCCTGCCTCTGTCCCAATGAAAGCATCGTTAACAGTGAAAAGCACTATGTGACTGATACATTATAGATCATACAGATAGATACATCACACATGCCTGCTTTTTGAGGATTTGTATTTGTCCCCAATTAGCGTGATGACTCAGTTGTGTACAGTATGTGTGCTTGTGTGGGTGTGTATGTGTGTCTGGGTAGAGAGACAGGACCACAGTAGTGGTATATTTATAGTCGTTCAACTGGCTGGCACCTGTGTTTTCAGAGAGAGAAGGAATAGTGTTTTGCTGGAGGAGAACAGGTGTCGTTGCGATGTTGCCTGATTGTCGCTCCTGGTTATTTTGGTGCCACATCTACTTTTTATTGGAATTCATATGTTTAGAGTAGAAAGAACCATCTCAGGAAAGAAAATCAGAAACAACACAGAAGGAGAGAAGAAACTTTAAGCTGTACTTTTTTAGTCAGCAGAATGAGCTGTAAACAAAAATAAATAAATCTTGGCAACTCCTAAGGTTATTATGATGTATTTCTTGGCAAACAATTAGCTATTTACACATCCAGCACACTCAAAGCATCATTACAAATCATTTGGTATTCCTGTTCAAGGCACCTAGAAAGTGTGCTCCAACTCCAATTTCCTCTGGCAAATCAACTGCTAATAAAAACATTTTTATCTGTGTGGCTATTTGATTTAATTTTAGCCAACAAAACCACTAAATAATATTTTTTGGGAAGTTATAGGCTAGTCAATACACAGTGTGTCTTTGCATTATTTATATGTACGTTTGAATGTTTGTATATGTGTGGGTTATGTATGCATACAAAGATGTGTAGATGGTTGTCACTGCGCAGTCAGAAAGGATACACTTTGTACTCTAGGTTGTCTATTATTAGCCTCACAGCTAGGTAATAAGGTAGACAGAAAACTAGACAAGAAATCCACATTGAAGCTACACCAGTCTGTGATCGTTTGACTTTCAGAAGAGAAATATTAAACATTTGAAAATGTCCCAACCGGTTCCACATTTGTACAAATCTCTTTCCAGTTCTAAAAAATACACAATGATGAATTAGAAGTATTATGCTTCACTTGGTAGCTTGCTGGCTGGCTCTTTCTATTGTTGAACCGACTGCTCCCACAGCTAACATCACAACAACGGCATGTCTTGGAAAACTAGAAAGTAAACTGAATGTCCATAAACATAGTTACTTCCTGTTGCTAGCAGGTGGCGCTGTGACTACGGGTGAATTTTGGCTTGTAGATGTGTTCAGGGTGGGCCTCTTATCAAACATGTAAAGTTTGGTGCAGATGTGAGCATGTACACTGAAGTTACAACAACGTCCTGTTGCACGGCGAATCATTCATTTTGGATGCCACGCCACAAAAACTCACCATTTGTACAACTTTTAATTGTCAATGGGTTTAGAGTAGACAGCGAAAATCTGAAGTCGATCGGACTAATTCTCTAGGAGGAGTTCGTTAAAGTACGGAGCCTGTAAATCAGGACTCCTATTAAACGTGTAAAATAGGTACAGATCTGAGCATGTACAGTCAAGTTACAACAACTTCCTGTGTCATGGCGAAGCATGGAACTTGCCGTCATGCCGCCGTCAAGCTATTTACCAAAAACGTGGCTTCATCAATGTGTTAAGGGTTTTCTGGGACAGTTTTGAAGTTGATACGGCCAGCCTGCTAGGAGTAGTACATTACAGAAAATTGTGTCATTTCCTGTTGCCAGCAGGTGGTGGTATGACTTTGAGTGAATTTAGGCATATGGATGTGTTTAGGGCACAATAAATTTTACAAATTTGGTGCAGCATGTATACAGAAGTTATAACAACTTCCTGTTTCATGGCGAATCACCAATTTTCAATGACACATGACGGGCAAACTGGTCGACTTGTAATAACTGTTTGTACAGTTTTTAACCGTCAATGGGTTTGGAGTGCACAGCAAAAATGAAGCTGATCAGACTAAATCCCTAGGAGGAGTTATCTTCAAGTTCTTTAAAATCCAATATTAATAGATGGAATTTCTTAAAATATTGCTCATATTCACGCCGCTATATATCACATTTAAGGAAAAAATGTCTCTCTTTCTCCACCTCTATATTCTTTTGGTAACAAGGACTTTTTATGTCTTCCTTTATTTGACAATTGCAAGGGTCATGAAGTCTGTACGTGGTAAGAAGCTGCCTCTGTTTGATATCTATGACAGTAGAGAGATATCCAGCCATTTCAAAATCTCTGTTTAAGATTTTTTGGACACTTTGAATGCCCCCCACTTGATACATAAACAGTATCACTGCACCACTCTAGTAGATTCCTCTGTGTCTCTCAAAGTTATTTGAAAGCCTTCTCCAATTTATTATGCTTTATGTCTACGTTCCTTTTCCTCACTGCACTGTACGCCAGTGTATGTAACCCACCAAAGTCTCTCTCCTTGCTCTTTATCCTGCTCCACATGTCTACTTGTTGTTTGTACAAGGCTTAAATACCACTCTTGGTGACAAAGACCCACCCCTGGACACTAACATAAGGTCTCATTACACAGGGGGAAGACAGAGCCAGCTGCGTTCAGCACTTTGTTTTGCTCTTTCTCTCGCATATGTACACACATTTATACCGGAAAGGTGTACCCAAAAAACATATACTGCAATGTACATCAAATTGGAAGGACATTTACTGCTGTCACAGCTTGCATCGCAGCAGTACATGGATGGATCACTGGTTGCCTCATGCACACAAACATGCACAGATACCCTATGTATAGAGGCCCACATGTCTCTCTCTCACACACACACACACACACACACACACACACACACACACACACATCATTGAAACATACTCACACAATCCAGCATGTTTTGAGTTTGCCCCAAGGCCTTCTCTCAAATTGAAATGACTTTGAAACTCTAAAGGGAGGCATTCAGGAGGCATCCATGTCATATGCCCCAAAACAACTTACTTACCAAGCTTTTCTCAATGTCTGAGCCTCTAACCCTCCCTCTAAGGGTGAGCTCAGCCACCCTGTAAAGGAAACTACTTTTGGCCACTTGTATCCACAGTTTTTCTTATTTTGCTGATTACACAAAGCTCATGACTATAGGTAAGGTCACAACAGCCCAATGAAGCCAAAGGACAACATCATCTGCAAATAGTAGGGATGCAACCCTAATGTCACCAGCAAGACACTATCCAGACTGCTGTGCCTTGATATCCTAAGCATAAAGAGGGCACCGCTGTCGCAATCCAATGCCTGTATCAATAGCACCTAATTTCTGTTCTAAGCAACAGCAGCCTTGTTGCAGAATTTTGCACTCAAGAGGTCTTTTTAATCATCCCAGTGACTAGTCTCAATAATGATGCATGAAAAAACACAACAAAGCCACACGCAGAATTAAAATAGGACTCACCTATGGTGGAGAAGCATCCAGGGCAGCAATCATCACAGACCATGGAAAGTAAAATCAACAAAAACATCAATTAGCCTCCTATTTGATATGGTTCAACATGTATACTCTCATGAGACACACCAGAATGTTAACTGTTGATGCATAACAGCCAAGGTGAGTTAACATGACACCAAAAAAGCCTTTTATCTTCAACATTCTTTTCAAGGAGAAGTTGTAAAGAAACAGGCAGCTAGTTAGAACTGTGAAAACAGGGTTAATTGGACAACTCACCCTGGATGCAAAAGAAACACAGAATGATTACAGTGTTAACACATACACTTGCACAGAAGAGAAAAAGAGAAGGTTGGTTCTGATTTGGTGAAAATGCATAATGGTGTCGCTAAGAAGAAAGAGTCCTGACTGGTTAGTAGTAGCACGCCCATCAACTCCAACACTGTTAATTATGAGAACATCCCAGCAGTGTATCATTGGGAATTAAGATAGATAAAAGTCAAGCCAATCCAAAGCCTCAGTTGATCAACACTTGAGCCCATGCATTAGTCATTCACAAACAGTACAATTTGGACAAGACAAAAACCCAGCAAAGTTTTTAGACTATTTTGTCCAAGCAAGAGACAATACAAATGGGTCGAATTATCCATCTAATCCTTAATGAGTAAAAGACACCCAAGCATCTTACCGACTCAAAAAATCATGCATGACATTCTTTATTTTTTAGTTACTGTTTAACTTCTATTTTGTCCAGGCCTGACTGCAACCAACCTTCGATGATGGGATTAACTGGAGGGACCATGGCTGGTTCTTCCATGGGATCAGCAAAGCTGGGAAAGAAGGGTTTAGCTGCAGGGTTAAGACCAGATCCTTGAACTTGAACCAGAGGGTTGACCAATGCAGGGGAAGAGGGGCTGGTGACTGGGGATGCTTGTGGAGAGAACTTAGATCCTGAGGAGTTGGGACTCTTTACAGAGGATGGAGAGCAGGACATCTGGAATTGCTTTTGGGCTGATTTGGCATCTTTGTGCTCTTTGGGTTGGAATTCCTGTGCTGTCGTTTTGGGGGAGCGGAGAGGGGCTGGGCTAGGTGTATCTAAGGACAGCCCAAAGGTTAAAGGATGACATGAAATGTTCATGTCACTGATATCAAATAGCTCGCTGTTGCTGCTTATTTGGGAGTCATTCAGAAGCCATGAAGCATCTGAAGGTGAGAGAGGTGGGGCAGTGGCCAACACCTCTCCTTTTGGGGAAAGGCTTGGCTGGGAGGCAGGACTGAAAGCTGAGGTGTCTCCGTCAGGCATGCCTTGCACACAAAATTCTTGGAGGGAACTGGTATTGTCAAACATCCCACTGTCAACCATGTCACCACGCATTGCTTCATTCTCTGGAGAGAAAGATGGCAAAAAGGCCTGGCTGCTGTTACCCAAACTGGCATTTTCAGTATCCATAAGGAAGTCAAACAGATCTCCAGAGCAAGGAGCCATGCTGAAGGAACCAAGTGTTGCACTGCTGGTGGTGGAGGGCATAGTGAACGAAGCGGCTGTGGCTTTCAGCTCGCTGTTCAGGACCAGTGGGTTGATGGAAGGAGATGTTCGGGAGAATAGGTCCTGGGACATGGGGGAAGGGACCAGGCCTTCTTCTGGATAGACCTCCCTTTTCCAGGGGGTCTGGCTGGTGTTTATGTCTGCGAATGAAGCCTCCAGGTTTGCCTGATCAGAACACTGTAGATCCGTCATCACCTCATCTGTGATTTGAGAGGTCGCTGCTGACGCAGGGACAAATGGTTCTGGCATCACTCCCCACTCCTCTGGAAGCTTCTTCCTGCTCTTTCCCCTCTTACCCCGGCCTCCACTCTTTCCTAGCTGCTCCTCCCAGCCACAGTCTCCTCTATCACGCCTTGGACCAATCCTGTGGTAGACATCCTCTGCAGAAGTGTGTGAAGTGTTTTGTCCCTGTGCTTGCACCTCAGGGAGACCCCTGCTCTCCAGGTGTTCATAAGATCCCTCGTCTTTCTGTCGCCTTTTCTTCTTCTTCTTCTGTTTTCGGTCTGATCCATCTCCCCCCCTTTCATCGCCTCCAGCATAGGCAGTGCTCTCTCTGCTAGGCCAACTGTCAGGTGGGTCATCAGGGCTAACTGCGAGATAGCCTGCATGGCGACTGATCACCGTGGAGACACTGGGGGTGAAAGGGAGGTCTGTTGGTAGGCAGCCAGCCTCATCTGGCCAGCATTCACTTAAGGCACCTTGTTGTGGGTGAAGAGGGGAGAGTTTAAAGTTGGGGGAGATGGATATGTGCACATGAATTGATTTCCTTAATCTAACAGAAATAACTGGGAAACCTGAGAATGTATGACATAGAGGAAGACATTTGTCGTCAAAAAACAATTTAACAAGCTATTTTTAACAATCTAAGTATATAAAAATTTACTGCAAAACCCAGCTTTAAATCATGGTGGCTAGTTTAGCTATTTTTTATTCAGTGGTTAAGTAAGAAGGCTGAGAAGATGACAAAATGTATCAGACACAGTATAGAAGCATCCGGAGGAATATAAGAAAGGCCAGAAGGGGTTCATGTTGCTCCAGATAGCTGAGCCTTAATCATTATACTCTTTATGGATATGAACTGTAGAAGTACTTTTTCTCTTTTAAGTGACTCACTGCAGCTAGTGCACAATCTACTCTTGTGCTGAAACTATTGCAAATCAAAACAGAGAGTGAGAGAGCATTTGAATGCAAACGCAAATAAGCTCTCGCAGTACATATACAGTGTTCCACATGTACACAGACATGGACACAGAAACACAAATACAAAACGACTGCTTAATGGTCCCATAGAAAGGAGGAGGTCAATTACAGAGAACTATGCTGCAACAGTCCTGCTTGGGACATAGTATAATAAAGCTCAGGTAAACAAAGAGTAGAGGGGAAATTGCTCAATGAGACAGCGTCGTTCGCTTGCTTCTAGTTTTCAGTTACACACATACACGTACACATACAGAATAAGAGCTAAAGTTGAGCAGCTGACAGGCCCAATACAGTACAGTTGCTCTCTGGCGTGCCATATTTCATATTAACAAACCTATGACAGACCTCTGCTCTCTCTAGTTTATGTGCAGTAATTGGGAGAGGCAGAAAAAGACATTGGCCAAATGAATCAGAATGACTTAAATGTTGTGTTGTGCAAGCTCATTAGTGTGGAGGATCATCAAAGAACAGCCATCTCACTGTATGTGCATATACTGTAGTAACTTTATAGTAGTACAATTATAAAATTGTATTCTATTCTTATATGATACTATTACACACTGTGTAAAAAAGCTAAGACATGTATCTGGGGTGTTTGAATCAAGTTAGTACTTAATAGATAACTAGTAAAGGTAATTTATTTTGGAATCCAAAATTGAATAGCACTGAATTAAGATGGGATGAGCGCCATTTTATAGTACTATACATTCTCAATATTAGCTGGAACATTTATTGACCATAATGGCAGAGAGAACCAGACTTTTATTTGGAACAGGACATAAACATGTAAAGGGAGAGTCGAGTCATCTCTGTTCTCTTGGACCTTCTTTTATTCTATTTTTTTTTTTTTTTTACATCAATGGCAGATCAGGGAGCCTGTCATTAGTTTACAGAAGTTAGCAGCAAATACTGGCAGCACAGTAGCGTTGTAGCAGGATAGGCCGTGTGTGTTGCATTTTTCAAAGGTATGATGGTTAAAGAATCAGACTGTAAAATATCAGCATGTCTGAATCAAATTACATGTTAAAGCATGTTAGTGGATTGTCCCCCACTAAATTGCTATGGCTCCGGAGGTTAGATCGGGTCAGCCACTAATCAGAAGGTTGGTCGTTCAGTCCCTGGCTCCCCTTTCTAATCCTTTATTTTGGAATTCCAAAGGGAGTTATAAACGGGCACAGACAAAAGTGCCTCTGGACGCAGTTGGATAGACCTACAAGCAATCAAAGCAACTAAATGTGTGACGCAGAAGATGCAGAGCTCAAAGCACAGTTAAAATGTAAGTTTAGGAAAACTAGCAAACTACTATTAATGTTCCCAGGTCACATCATTCCTAAGAAGAAGCGCAAAGTACTGTAGGCAAGTTACCCTGCCAAACGCAAGAGATTGGTGCGTAGTAGCGAATCTCCAGAGAAGTCGGGTAAGAATTCTGAAGTATACTGCAAGCCTAATCACTTCATGCATGCTGTTTGGCGTTAGCATGCTAAAGCTAACAAAGTACCTTGCTAGCTAGTTCAGCATTTGTGTTTCATACTTTTTGCGGTCTGCTCGATCTACATGGTGCAGACGGTGCACACTGTCAGTTTGTATTGATGTCCAAGATGTAGATTTTTGCTTTCAACATATGACTGTGTTAACATTAGCAACTACCTCCTACTTCACAATTCGATTATCCATGTAAAGCCTAATCCTTGGGCTAAATATATAAATATACAATATTATTATTACTGCACTATAATATAATAGTTGTGTGTGTATGTATATGCATTTTCAGATTCATGCCATGCACCTTTCGTCACATCCCTTCCAAATTCACTGTTAATACTGCTTGGAGGTCTACCCTTTGCATGGGATATCTTTAGGGGTGGGGCCAGAGGGTCAAGGAGGTATAGGGACAAAAGTCTCAGGGTTCACGGCACAAACATGATTCTACAAAGAAGAAGAAGCAAAAAGTAGATTTTGTATGTTGTTTGGAAGAAGCTATCTTGGTATTCTTAGTATGGATATCATGACAGAGGCTGTGAAGAGACCCACGAAGACATTGAAGAAAGTGAGGAAGAGTAAATATTGGACTTTTACTCGTCAAAACTGGAAGGATGCAACATAGGACATAGGACATATGCTAAGCTGGTCTTGCTGTTGTACTAGTGACTAATAACTCATTAGTTGGCTTGCTGTGTCTTGTGTTGTCACACTTGCTTGATGTTTGGCTGTGTTAGCAAAGTTGTAGATGTAGTGAACAACAGTGTGGATTTGTGCATTTGACATTGAATAAATTTGGAGCTAACCTAAATTCCTTTCTCCTCCCCAGAGAAGAAGGGGAGGGGTCAAAGTTGCTTTCTCTAAGTGCTAGCCCCACCATAAAACTGGCACCTTTTTGATTCCGAAGCTGATAACGCGGGGCCTGACTGTTAAACTGACAAAGGGACACGAGCCAGCTATTGGCGTTTCCAAAGACTCAAAGCATTTAATTAAGTTTAATTAAATCTTTAGTTACTTGATTACGTTTGCCTCTATTTGAGTAGTTATGTTAACTGTTGTTGCTATCTGTTATTAGTGCTGAAAAGAAAGTTACTTGTGCAGTGTTTTTATTTTCAGCAAGACACTCCTTCATCTAATGTGATCAATGCTTGTTCATAATACTTTCCTACAAAATTCCTTTAGAAATGAGGACAAAGGAACGTTTTACCATACTCATGTAACCTGAGCTCCCCCAAGTGGACGAAATAAGTATTACATGCCCTCGTCGGAAATACCGTTAAATGTATAAATATCCTGACCAATAATGTGACAACTGTTTCCGGTTACCAAATGCCTAGAACAGTACAACCGTTCGACCATTGAGGTTCGATTGTGGAAAATATTTGATTATAAGACGTGCAAATAGATTTGTTTTTAGACATTAAGTTTAGAAAGGCAGTCCCTTGGGAAACCCGATACGCCCCCTGGGGAACCACGCCCCAGGCAACAAAAGAGCGACACGCGACTTTAACAATTTTATGAATATTAAAATTCATAATTGGGTATCAATTCTCATAATTTTATTAAATTGCATAACTAAAATTTACTATTTAATTTTCTGCTACATAGACTAGATTTTGAAGTAATGTAAGTATAAGAAATGCACATGTACAGCGGTCCTTATTTATGACGGCAGTGAATTACACTCAGTCGAAACGGTAGGGGTGCCAAATTGCATATATAAATATTGTAAATCAATTCAATCATTTCTTAATTTTAAATAATTACATGTTTACATGTTATTTTGATTTCCACTTTAACATAAATTAAAAAATACATCTTTGTGGATAGTGAGATGTTTATGAATTTTTTCTAGAGATTTCCAAACACATTGCTACATCCGCTACACATTGGACAAAATTCCACTAATAAATAAAAGTCACAGATGTAAAGTGACCCACAAATTGACAGGAAGCAATCTACAAATGTGCAAAACCTGACTGTCTTCTGTGGGTTACAAATAATAATGTCCAATAAAAACTTCAATATTCCAGTGGCTCAACAGGCACAATCCCTGACTTTCCAGTTAGGCTTTTAATTTGAAAAATCTGCAAGTGGTGCTGAGCAGCAACTATTTATTAAGACTTGGTCATTATTTAAATACCTGCTTTTATTTGAGAATTTACAGAATATCTTCACTTGTTTTCTGCCAGAACTGTCTTTTAAGAAGACGAAGAATAAGCTGAAAATGAGCACCAGTTTGCATTTAGGGTTTGCATTATTTTATTTCATTCTATGATATCAACTCTATGGCTATTTGATGACATCTATCTCCTTCCACCCATAAACCTTCAGTTTGGGGTCCTAGAACAGTAGCGGGCTGTGCACTTTTAGACATCTTTGCACACTTCATAGTGCAAACTCACCAAAGTGTTCACCAAATGAAGACACTCTTATTTAGTACAGAGGCACAGGGGGTTCTACCACCTGCTGTGTAACAGTGCACCATTGGGGTCCCTGCTGCTTTGATACTTTGTGCGTCGTTCCACTGACCACGTGGGATGTTAGTATGGCCCTGTTAGCTGACACATGGTGAGAACTAAAACTTCATGCTCTCTAGGATCAGACTGTGCCACGGCCACCTTAACAAAATGGGTGGCCACCTCAGTGGTCCCCCCCTGGCAAGGAGCATATGTATAAAATGCTATATACAGTATACATTATGTAACCCCTTGGTTTGAGTTAAAAGGTGAATAGCAGCATACAAGTGTTCTCATATTAGGCTCGGTCACTTTAAGAGGGTGGGTGAGGTGTGACAGACTATGATGTTTATTTTAGGAGAGGCATCCAATTAATCCATGCAGATGGCAATCACGTTTCTAAAATTGTGACTGGTTAAGGGGCGGGATTAACAGGCAGAGCAAATCGGAGTACACCGGTGTTGTGCCGAATGTGTGTGTTTTCTGTGGAGGCAGCGACAAGCTGCAGAAGAAAGAAAAGTGTCATTTAATTAATGTACAGAGACAGTTAGTAGCCTGGCTAGTTTATAATAAGTTTATCACACTGCTACACAGTTTTGTGTATTGTACTGTGTGTGAGAGCTAATAGTCTGCAGATAGCAACAGGTTAGCACCATCGCTAACAGCAAGCTAACGTCGTACGAACACTGGAGCCCCTGACAGCGCCGCGTGTGACCAGCTGTTAACGTTATGTTTTGAGGGAGACTGTCCTGTGCCTGTTTATATCTTCATCTCTCTGAAAGGATTGCAAAACATGAGAACAGCGGGAGCACAACAAACACTGTGGGGCCACAACGACTTTGGTGGACTGTCTGAAAAACTTAAGAGTCATCCAGAAGTTTGTCCAGAGGAGAAACCACTGCGCCGCCTTTCTCCACGTGAGGCCTCAGCTCTGGTGAGTGAAAGCATCTTTTATCATTCTGAATCTGCTGCTGGTTCCTGCATGGGCAAATTGTATTGCTGGATCGGTTGAGACTATCGAGACTTGCGGGTCCTATGATGTAATGTTTTGTCTCAAGCATCAATTCGGTTTGATTTTGCAATGCAATGGATAACTGTAACATTAGTTGATGACAACTACGCTCGTTACTTTAAGTACGTGCAATAAAACCTTTCCAAGTAAAAAGACAATACTTTATCCTGTCCGTAATGTAACGTTAAACATGTAGAATTGGTTAATTTAATCATCTCTGTCCTCAGTATCTCATCCTGTAACGTTATGTCTAATACAAGCACAGCTAACACTAGCTTGGCATTAGCCAAATGTTAAAAACAAGCTAAATAGAAAGCTGTCTGTCTGGAGCACAGACTGGTCTGTAGTCTTAAAAACTCAGCTGCTGGCTGAGACACACCAGCCGCTCCTCCTTCTACCTGGTAACGTTACCTGCAGCAGCGAGAGAGGAAGAGGGACTGATACAGACTGATGTTATTCTTTCTAAACGTCACTCACTCCTTGTGATGTCAGATAAAGTTATTGAGTTACTTTGCTGCTGTAAACATTAATGTTGCTGCTCTAGAAACAACATTTAGCTGTAATTAAAATATTAAATTAAAAACAACCAGGCAGTTAATATGTACACTTCAATATATGTTTATTTATCGCAAGTGATATGTCATCTCAATATATAACGTTACGTCGCACATTGAATATTTTCCTCATACCGTGCAGGCCTACCTCATGCCTGCATGTTGGGTCTGGTCTTACCAAGTAACCATCAGTAAATAATAGTAAAGTATCGATAGTGGTATCGATAAAGAACCGGATCGTTAAGCAGTCTCAATAAGAGTATCAATAAAAATGAACGATCCCCATCCCTATTCGGGATTATTAGGCCAATCTGCTGGCTCGCTGTGCTGTATGAAAGGTACGGAGCTGGAAATGGGATATATATTGGCGGACAGTCTTTTACGTTTCAATTGCGGGATCTCTGTGGAAAGCGGCTATAGAAAGGGTCTGGGTCCCTAAAACCTTGTCTGTGCGCGTTGTTGTTGACTTCAGTGGTGTTGAGCTCACTCCTCTTTGCTTATAGCCCTGTAGGCTCCTTTGCTCTGAGCTTGTTTGTGTCTCCTTAAATAATGCATTCTTAATTTAGGTTTGTGACAGTGGTACTGTAACTTGTGTCAATGTAATCCTCTCTCTCTCTCTCTCTCTCTCTCTCTCGATCTCTCTTGTTGAGTGTTTTGTGGAGCCATGCTATTTGTTGACATGTTAAAAAACACAGTAGCAAGAGAGAGTATTGTAGTTTTTCTCTAGGTTTTGAAATGGTTGGTGCCCTACAGTTTTACATATAAATATGACATTGGTCAAATCGATGGTTAAAAAGTGGGATATTTCAAGAATAACTATCCTATTTGCTTGTAACAAAAATAACACGAAACCTGTGAAATAGTATGTTAATAGATAATAACACAACTTTATACATACACATCGTATATTTCAAGTTTAATTGTTATACAAATTTAAAGAAAAATATTTATGCTTCATCTAGAGTAGGCTTGTTCCCAGTAAATGTTTTGTTCCTCCCCATCAATGCACTCCTACAAATAAGAGCTGTATTTGTCTTTTTAAGGAAAAGGTCAGCTAGCGTATTTAAAGAACAATTAATTGCCTAACACATACAGATAACACATTAAACAGGATGTTTATGGAATGTTAACTGAAATGGTTTTAGTCTATGGACATTAGACAATTTTAACTGTAAAATTAAAAAAAACAAAGTAATTCAGTCTGTGATTCCTTAACTCATATTTTAATGTAGTATTCAACTAGTCTATATACTGCATAATCGAATTCCTGAAATTCTGGTTTAGTGTGCCACCCCAGGATTTTCAGTGGCCCCATCTGGCCACCCCTAGGAAAATTTCCAAGGGGCACCACTGTCACACACTAATGGCATTGGGAGCAATTTAGGATTCAGTGTCTTGCCCAAGGACACTTAAGACTTACAGACTGGGAGAGCCGGGGATCAAACCACCGACGTTCTGATAACTGAATGACCGCTCTACCCTTGAGCCACAGCCACCTACATATCAGCATGAGATGTGCATTGACCTTGAGATGGATGACTAAATCACATCAGCTGTAGTGTGTGTGAAGAGGAAGCTATAGAAAGGCAAAGAGTGACAGCTGCTCTGTATACTGCACCCCTTTTTTGAACAAATCAGGTAGTCCAGCATTAGGTCTATTAGTTAACCATTGGTATATTTGGTTTTAAAAGAAACATGACACAATTATAAGCAGTACCCAAAAAGGTACCATCTGTGCAAATTGCAGGAGGATTGGTGAAAAACATCTGAATAGAAATCATTCAATATGTATGGCACAAAGTCACAACATCATATGCCAAAAAGTGTACCAAGTATAGCAGTGTTTTCAGTAGTGACATACTGTATCGACTTCAGAGTTGAAGCTTAGGTTCTCTACCATGTGATATAATATTTAAGTCAATCAGAAACTTAAAATACCCTTGTATTTCAGTTTGGTGGGAACCAAAAACGGGAAACTACCCTAAAACTTCATTAATAGCCCAGGCATTTAATTCCTTTACACAAATCTCTTGCTCAGCAAATGTGTGAACTAGGCTAACATCAAATTTTATTTGGTTTATTTCAACCAGTATAAATATTACTTGTATAAAAATTTGGATATCAAATAACATCAATTACAAATTGTTAATTGCATCTAGCTCCAGACAGCGTAGGCACTTTTATTTTGTAGGCAGCAAGGTAACGAAAACAAGCATAACCAACAAGGTGGTCTTTACAACCACTTCAAAAGTAGGGAGTCTGCACTTTTTATTCATCTATCTTGTTTATCATCCAAATCTGAGTGAATTAGACTTTGGGGCTTGTTGTTTCCGTAAAATTAACTGAACAATGGAATTGTGGAGAATCTAACTGTACAATGTGTAGCATGTCCATACTGACAAAAGTTTAAACATTTATATTTGTATGCGCAATCAAAGCAGCTGAGAGGTAGTTGAAATGGGTGACCAGGCAGGCTATATGAGTTTTTATACATCCAAAAATCAGACCAGGCGTCTAATCGAGACCAGCGTATATTTGTCAAAATGTGTACCCACACTAGGCCAGTAAACAGGATAGGCGGCTATTTGGAGCTCGGCTATTAATTAAAGTTTTACAGTATCTTCATCACTTATGCCCAGATTCCCCTATGCAAGGCACAGAGGCTCCATTTGCTCGAGACAATTGGCTGAGTTGCCTTGGGCAGCTCACAGTTGTAAATTTCCATTTAAATTCTGATTATCAAGCACTCATTGCCTTGTTGAAGAAGAGCAGGTTAATACAGACATTGTTTTCATATAACTAACTTTCTGTGACGTGAGTTCATCTGCATGTGTCTTACCTGCTGACAAATCCTGAGGGCTGCAAGGAGCCTGGGGTTCAGGGAGCATGGGGCTGTGGGGCTCTACAGGGGCATCTGACCCCTCTGGGTGTGAGGGATGCTGGGGTTCTGCTATACTTTGAACCCTCTCTGCTGAGAGGGGTACAGCCCCCACCTCCACATTCACCCCAATCCCACCAGGCTGGGACAAACCTAACAATCAAAGGCAGACAAACAGATACAGTATACAGTCAGTGTTGGGAGATTCTCTTAGCACCGATGCTACTGTTGTTAAAGATACACCAACTATAATCCAAGGTGGTACATTTTTCTCTTTTAATAGAGAGTAGCACATTTAATTCCTTTTGCACTAAACTGAAACTACTATGAAACTGTTTATTTATTTCAAACAGAATAATACTTGTATAAGAATTATCAAATAATATCAAATATATGTCATTCATTTGATCTAGCTCCGACAGACGGCTTGTGCGCTTTTATTTTGAAGTAACATCACGACAACAACACAGTGCAGGATGAGAGAAGTTAGCAGACAGAGAGAGATGGACTTCATATGACAGGATTCACAACCTGGATAAATTTTTATGAAAAGCTGTTTTGATTCTTTTGATGGGTGGATCTTTACAGACTAAAGGAATATAAATAATCAAGGAACAGACACATTCGGACTTAACAAGCGGACTTAACGAGCGCTTCAAAGGTAACAGCAGTCATCACTTTTTTTCCTTTCCTATCTTGTACCAGGCAGGTTACACCGGTAAATCTATAAGAATTAGACTTTGGGGCTCGTTGTTTCCCTTAAATGAACGGAACGATTGAATTGTGGAGAATCCAACCGATTTAATGATGTGTAGTATGTCCATACTGACATAATGATCATATGTTTAAACATTAATATTTGTATTAATGATCTAAGCAACTTAGAAGCAGCTAAAGCGGGCGACCTGGACATGGTTTAAGAGGTTTTATACATCCAAAGAACTTCTATAAAAACTAGACCAGGCGTTAAATTGAGGCAGGCGTTTATTTGTCAAATTGTGTTCCCACACCAGGCCAGTAAACGGGGTAGGCGGCTATTTGGGACTCGGCTATTAATTGAAGTTTTACAGTAGTCCTCCCAGCTCATTGGGGAAACCTATCTTGCACTTAGTATCCTGCAAAAGCACAGTCTTATATTAGGTTCTCAACCACTAACAAGGTGGACACAAACATTGTCTCTATTAGATTATTGATTATCAACAATCAAGTACAGCACTGTACATTGACAAAGCAAGGTAGAGCAAGAGAAAAAGAGGGAGAGGTAACAAAACAAAAACCAGGAGAGAGAAAGCCAAAGAGGGCAAGGTACGAGATGAAAAGACACAGCAGCATGAATGACTCAAACAAAGCAAAAGACATCCAATCTACACAGCTCCTGGGAATACTCTGTGTGGGTATGTGTGTGGACTGAACGTTTACAGTATGTGTGAGAGAAACTGTCAGACCCTCTGTGAGATTATGAACATGTGTCCAAATATACATGACATGATAATTCATTAAGATTGTGAGCGTGCATGACACAGTGGTGTGTAAACTAAATTGGTGAAAATTGGGTTAGAAAGTAATTTTGTGGCCATTCACTGAAGCAAGTGTCAACTGTATTTTCATAGGAATGTGTGCGTGTGAGTGAGAGAGCGAGGGCAAAAGAGTATATGTGTGGGTTCAAGCCTGGAGCAGTAATTCAGCGGCCAGAGATGACAGGTCTCATTAAGGCAACAGTGAGAGCTGGGTATGCAGAGGTTGGCATAGTGAAAGGCATAACTCAGCCTTACAGCTCATACTGAGTGTGTTTGTATGTCATTCTGTGGAGTACCAGCAGATACCAAGCTAGTGACAGCTACAGCTCTGCATGTAGCTAACAAGTTTTGCCTCACCAAAAGCTATCATCGGCTATCATCTCAATTCAATTCAGTTTTATCTATAATAGCGCCTATTCATAATAAAAAGTTATCTTATTGCACCATCAGTGTGGCTTTCCCGACCACAGAGTCAAAGCCAGTTGTTGGAATGAATGAGAAAAAAATCTAACGAGTTACATTTGACTTATTTAGCAGACAGTTTTATCCAAAGCGACTTACAATTGCTATCTATGTCAGAGGTCGCACGCCTCTGGAGCAACTAGGGGTTAAGTATCTTGCTCAGGGACACATTGGTGGACATGTCACCCGGGTCCCTCACACCAAAGACATGTCTTATCCACTGCCCCATCACCATCGATCCACCATCTACCCGTTGCAATTAAAAAATAATACATATATGGACTGATGTCATGTGCAATTCCACTGAAAATGACACAGTGCAAACATGGCAACAAAACAGCCAAAACAAAAATGCAAAACAGCAAACGAAGATAACATTAATGTAATTTTATCTGTAATTATGAAAGTACTAATGTGAATGGTTTAATGCTACATTAAGTTGGATATCTTTTGGTGTCCAGATTAAATGCTATCGTAAGGAATTAGTGCAGGATTGATATAGACTTAATTTTACATTAACTAATGGAAATAATATTTTGCATTAATGTTAGGCAGAGTTTATAACTGCTCATCAAGCCAATTCCAGACCATGAACAGTATTTGAGTTTACATATAGAATGTATGCAAGTATTCAAGATGAAGTAATGTAATGTAGTGAGCAAGAAAAACAGTGAAGGTCTGGCTGTATTCAGTTTGGGATTGACAACCATATTTTCTAAGGAAAGTCACTGACTTAACTATAAGTAGACTGTACCAAGTGACTAAAAATAATCAAATAACTATAATGTCACTAAAAATAATAATAAAAATACACATTTTTATAAATGCCAAAAGTAAAAAAGGCTTCAGTATCTTGTGTTGCTTAATGGTGCATTTTACAGTTAACTTGAATCACCTTTTCCTTAACACTTAATAGTCCAACATATATATAGATTGCCAGATACAGAAACATTGTCTCAATGTTTTTTTGGTACAGTATTAAACAACAACTCTCTTTTGGCTATAATTTGACTTTGATTAACATCCAAAGCTTAGAAAATATATTTCATGAGAAAAAAAGTCACTATATAAATAAAGGCATTAGATGGGCAATAGGTGTTTCAGCGGAAAGCACCATGAAATTATACTGTTACACTGTTTCTGTAATGGCACATAATGGCAAAGAAAACAATTGCATTTTGAGTTTAGTTAAAAGCAAATATGGGTTACCACTTGTACCATCACTCAACACTTCAATTCAAACTTATTGGTATTGCTAATGTAAGCAAAAGGATTGACATATTGATGGGGACTGGACCCCGGAAACTGATTTGCTAAAAGATTGACCACTACGGGGTTCTAGTTAGAGAACACAGAGTCATCAGTTTGAATTAAGCTCTTTACTTGCAGAATGGAAATAGTACTATAGTACAAAAAAAAAATTCATTCTGTAGTTTATTGTCAGTGCACAGGTAGCAAAGACAGAAACATAACAGAGGATGAGTGGAATGAGAAGGAAACTGAAACAAAGTAATTTCAAAATAAAAGTTTTAAAATAAAAGGTCCCTTAACATGAAGACTTCACAACAGATATATTTTTTTGGAGTTGGGGAAGGCAAATATTAATTTGTGTGTGTAAACATGATTCATGTATAACTATTGCCATCAGAAGATTAAAAAAATTTAAGCTCAGAATTTTTAAGAAGCACATGTCAACATAACGTTTGAAAAGTCAACTATGAAGGAAATTATGTTAGTATTATTAGTACTGCTTCTATTATCATAGTAGTAGTACCAGCATCTGTGCTAATGCAGTGTTGCTGTGTGGCAGCTTGAAGATACTGGGCGTATACCTGAAAAAGCTCCCATCCGGCCAGCATCCATCATTTGGGCAGGGCTGGTTTGAGAGCCCAGAGGATCTGAATAACCTGCCATGGAGGCTGACAAGAGGGATACAATGAACAACAGAGACAGTGCCATGGAGGAACAGAAACGGGGCAAGAAAAGATTAAAAAAGTGGGAAGAAAGAAATTGTTGAGGGTGATTAATAATAGAGGCAAAAATGGACAAAATGAGGAGAAAGGAGAACAAGAAGGGAAGGAGAAGGAGTAGTAAGAGATTTTATTAATAACTCTTAATTAGTGCAAACTGTAATGTTTAAGTTATCTGAAACAAAACCCAACGATTCACCATCAATAAAAATAGAACTGGATAAAGATTTTGGAAGTTCTATTATTATCCAGTTATACTAACTACAAATATTATACACCCCCTTGTTTATATTTATGTTAAGATACCATAAGCAACACCAAAAAGCTATTGCATCATGGAATATATAGTTTTTTCAAATAGTTTTAATTTACTTCATTTCATTTGAAAGTGTGATTTTGGAACATGTTGTTGACTTTCATACCTGATGAGAAGTCTGTAGTCAAGGCCTGGTGCTGGTCAAGTGAGTGTGGCCAAACCTCTCCCTGGGGTTCTTTGCACAACGCTGATGTCTGTCCCCCCGCAGTCAGCTTGCAACCTGCAGTGACAACATGGATCATCGAAAATCAGTTTCCCCTCTTCGCTGATGATGCACTACTTTACAACTGTAATTTAGTGACAAGGGGCTATTGAAATCACACTCCATAGAGCACAAATCCACACACTGAAATATTGCTCATATTTACAAAACATAAACTCCTCTACATAGTGAAATATATCACACATAAAATGCTCACATACACAACACATACACTCACATTCTCACCTGCCAAATATCCTCCCAAAACCAGATATCCCAGTCCCATACACCTCAACATTCAGTGGTGTTTGCTATGTACTGCTCAATGCCTCTGTCTCTGTCTCCACTGCAGCCTCAGCTGACTCTGAGCAACAAAAATTGTGAACCCCCAGTCTCTCACACACACACTTGGCACACAAAGAGACACACACAAAATAATGCGACTACAGTCGGAGAGTCTGGGTTTGGTGTGACGTTTCACTGTCTGTCTGGTTCATGTCCCAAGCCCCGCCAGACAGCGCCTCCCCTCCCACTCCCTGACTTCCCACTGCCCACTCCCTCCCTCTCTACACTTCTAGTCACCCTTTAACCCTTGTCCCAGTCTCCAACCAGAGATCCTGATTTGACCGCAGAGGCCAGAACCCCCAACTGGCTGTTGTGGCTGGGTGTGGAAGGTAAAAACGGAAGGAGGAGAGGTGGTAAAAGGACAGCAAGGGAAAGGCAGGCGGAGGGTCAGAGGAGGATGAAGAGTTGAATGAATGAGGAGTTATAGAAGGACAGTAAGGAAGGAGGGTAAAGCAGGAAAGAGCATTTACAGAATGAGTAAGGGAAAAAGACAAGGATGGAAAAAGGGAAGGATGAAAGGAAGAAAGGCAGATGAGTAGCGGAGAGAGGGGAAGAGCAGAAGAGAGAAGGAGGGAAGCACCACTGGCAACCCTTTCGGAGCAGCACTCACAGACGGTGACAATGAGGCGAACAGACAGGATGCCACCCAAAGTCACAAAGGCTTCCATGTAACAAACACACAGGGGCTATGGTAGGGTGTGCATTGTCTGTCTCGATGGGACACAGAAAATACTCTGTCGGCAGGGTCACTGATTGATTCAAAAACACTAGTGCTGCAGCACATTTGTGTCTGTCTGCCTATCTTTGTGTCTCTCTCTGCTTTGTAAACATAATTTTGGGCAAATAACAGAAGATGCACGTCACAGTAGACTTCCCGCATGGCTATGGAGGCCAAAATGAGTGCACCTACATGGACTGAGCGTCTTCTGTTCTTCTTAATTACCTCAGCGAAGCAAAAAGGTTGCAGGAAACCAGACGTACGTCTCCCCCAAACTGATGTGCCGCTGTCCAAGGTGCTGAAATCAGACTAAGCAGCTTTGAAAGGGCAGTCAGTGGCATTGGTCTGAAAACCTCTAATATCTCCGTATTTGAATTTTTATCCATTACTAAACCACTTGGGTTGACTCAGGTAAATCACAACCTTAATTTAAAGCTGTGGCCAGAATGTGTTCTTGTTTTCTTGTTCTTGGTGAAAGGGTGAATGTGATATGTAGTGTAAAGACAGTCCATTTGCCATTTATTATCACTCAAAGAAATCATCTCTTGGCCAAAATAAGCAATCATATTAACAGACCGAGTTGAAACAACTACAGAGTTAAAAATATTTGAAGACCTTTGTGGTGTTAAATTGCACAGCTTTCAAGTTTACATTGAACACTGTGGTGCCAAATTTCTGGGTTTTGATGTTTCACATTTTGTATCTGTGCTACCTCTGCTTCAAATCACCAGATCTTTTCAAAATTTTACATGTTTAATAAGAGTCCTGGCCAGGGGATATCTACATGCCAATTTGGAGTCAGAATTCTTGCGACACCTAGGTAGGATCTGAGCCACACCACCTTCTCCCCACCATAGAGAGGTGAAGAGAGGACAGGCCACACAAAAACACAAGAGAAGAACAGCATTAACACAGAGAACAGTAACAAACAAATACACAGACAGAGAGAGGCATGGAAACATGCAAACTAGAGGCTGAATGTCCTGGGGGATGAAGATCCAGATCAAAGACCGGATTCAGCTACCTCGTTTACTGTCGAATATTCATGTAAATTCAGAGCCGAAACTTCGGAGACGGTGATGCAGAAGCAGCACGCCCCGACGTGGGGGTGTTGTAAACATGTTGCACATAAGAATTAACATCTTATTATTACTGGTTGTGAACTGCTCAGCTTGAAATATGGACAAAGACCAACTGTGATGCACCAAATGTGTGTGTGTGTATGTGTGTGTGTGTGTGTGTATGTGTGTATGTGTGTATGTGTGTATGTGTGTGTGTGTGGGGAGGGGGGGGGGGGGTTCAATGAGAGCACATATAATCAGTACTACTGACTAATTAATTTGCTCTGCCATCGTCTCAAAAAAAAAAATAGTTTCACATATCTCATAATAACGTTTCAGACCTCTAACGTTGTGTTTTGCACCGCTGCTCTGCGCTGCTGCACGCTCACACACTTTGGCATCCGACTCGAGACAACCACTACGGTAACGTTTATGGTCTACTTCTGTCACTCCTTTGTGAGAGGGTGATTAAGCTAGGGTTGCTGGTAAAACATTAACTAAATCTGTTGACTTTTGTTTCTTCACCATTTATAGCTATACAATGGGTTTATGATTAAATAGTTGGCTAGAGCACAACATTGTTCACAAGAGTGCAAATTTTTTTGCACCCAATGAATGCATTTAACTTTAAAATTAATGCATTTAACTTTAAAATGTACAAAATTTTCTTCCTTCGGGCGGGGCATGCCCCCGTACCCCCCTGAGAGGGTCCGTGGTCCACCCACCATAGTCTCTTAAAATCCTGTGGGAAACACTGCAGTTTCACTCTGGACCTGTAATGTACAGTTAATACTGTATATCTAACCTGCGTAATAACGATAATTCACTTTCAACAATTCACTATCACATTGGAGCAAATAAGCCCCGTCCCTGCTTGTGCACCCCGCTCTCGCTGTTGCAGAGCTGAGCAGCATAATCCCTACCCACGCAAGCAGCTCTATGGTGCCCCCGCAAGTGTTCCCCAACGTCGTTGCTGCAGAACGCTCAGTACTGTTCTCTAGTATATTTATTAATTCTGATTGCGTGTTCAGTTTGCACCAAACACAAGACTGCACTTTGGTCCGCAGAAACACACCCGCCACGTCGGAAGGTGATCTGATGAACGGTTCCTGACATAATCGAATCGAAAAGAATCGAACAGATGTCTTAACTTACCTACAGTATAAGTTGGTCACGATACGGCCACAGGCTACCAACCGCCAACCAAAAAGCCCCTGGGGATTTAGCCAACTAGCTTCCTCTGCTAACACAGAGTAGCATATAGCATTAGCTCCTTAGAATGTGCTAACTTGGTCACTTCAAGCTAGGTGGACATGGTTTCAGCAACCGGGCACCTCAGCTCCACCTATGACCTGCCTCTTTGCCCATCCTCAAGAATGTGCTGTTTTTGTCCTGCTTCATGATACTTCCCAAGTATCTAAGTAGAAAACAAGAAATTGCCTTTGGCCTCTAGTAGGCAGCACCCAAAAAGAGTGACTTTAAGTGCTATTAAGAGTTAGATATCTGATACTGTGTTTCCATATTATGTAAGAGCTGCTGCTGGGGGGTTGCTGACCTCAGTGTGAGGACGAAGTTTGGTAAGACAGACTGGAGCAGCCACGAGTGTGATGAATGAACTGTTTATACACACAAAAAGCACCAAACACAAACTTTACCACGAAAGATGGGTACAGTGCACAACACCTGTCTCCAAGTGTATCGCAAAGGAGATGGCCTCCTGTCATACTATCCAGTCAAGGAGGATGAGAAAGTTATAAGAGAACTACTCCAAACTTTTAACACACAGTAAGAGCAGCTGGGATACAAGAATTCACCAAGGATAGTTCTTAACAGACATGTGGTCAAGCAAAACACAACCCCCTATATTTGTGACCGTCCATTATATTTCCAAAATTTGGAAATTGGAAACTACATTGTCACAAAACTACATTGATCCCGGAGAACAACACTGCGAAGCAACTGGCTGACAGGCAATGCACGATTGGGACACAGACAAGAGTAAAACCATGTGCATCACTACGGCCTGAAGAGAGCTCATATGGCCATGGCTAAACAGTGCTGGTTTGAATTTGGCAGTCAATAATTCACTATAGAACATTAAAGAAAAACTGATCTGGCTTTTGGTGTCCGCCACTTCATTAATGGCCCAACATCTCACAGCTTTGCAGAGAGCTCCGCAAGGTGCAGTAGCAGCTCAATCTACCTCAACACTGATAACAGTAACTTGTGTTGATTATCTTAATTTATTGGCTTAATAATTGTCTAGAAAGAAAAAATCTTAACAGTCAAGGTGGACAAAGGCAGGACCATCTATGCCTAAAAAAACTATTAATAATGACAACATTATTCGTTCTTTTTAGGGGTCCAAGCCCGAGGAGGCTGGGGGCCACACATGCAAGGTACCAGCGGTGCTGGGAACCACAGAATATTTGCCAGTAGTGCTGTGGAACATCCAGGTGCTCTTTTGTAAACTTCAGACCTGCGGTGTTGTGTCCTCCCATGAACTCCATTCTTGTTCAGTGTTTCACATATCGTAGATGTTCTCAACAGAGATCCTGGCAATGGTCCAGAGATTTCTGTAAGTCTTCAGCTGACACTCTAGGATCCTTGTTAACCTCAGTGAGCTTTCTGCGCTGGGCTCATGCAGTCATCTCTGCAGGACGGATATTCTTAGTGAGAGTAGCAACAGTGCCTAACTTTCTCCATTTATAGACCGTTTGTCTTATCGTGAACAAGGCTTTTAGAGATACTTTTGTATCTTTCTAGCTTCATGCAAGTCAACAATTCTTAATCTTAATCTTTTGGTTGAGGCAAGGTTCACATGGTTGGTGTTGAACTGAATCGATTTTGAAGATGGCGCCAGTGTGTGTGGCCGGCCGGCCGTCGCTCTCAAA